ATGTCCCTGTATGTCCCTGTATGTCCCTGTATGTCTCTGTATGTCAATGTTTTCAATTTCCTCTTCATAAGCTTTTACAAGTTTATCTCATTTTCCCAGCTCTACGCCATATAAAATATAAATATTGCAAGCCCCCCCCCCCCTATTCTCCAGCTCTCCTTCCCTCGAACCCTCCTTGAATCATAAATCTGGTTCCCGTGGTTTTGATGGTTGCAAATAGTAAAAATGAGAGTTTAAATGTTAGGTTAGAAAGTCAGCGAATAAAGTACGAGCCGCTATTATTTTTTGCAAAAAAATATATCTGGATAGGATTTCCGAAATTTATTTTTTTAAATCTCATTTTTGACACAATCCCCTTGACTTTTTTTTTACTTTTAAGGAAAAATAATTTAAAGGATTTTTTTATAAATTTTTTTAATGCATAAGGTCTATATTTTTTTTCAATGAGCTGGCCATGACAAATTAGACTATTAACATACATTGCAACCCTATACCTTTACTCTCAGGCCTTTTTCCATAAAGGCCCGGCCCCCATGTCAAATAATCCATAAATTCAGACCTTTCTAACCTTTATAGAGTTAAACATCATATTTCTTATCATTAGAAAGCCCGCGTAGGATTTTAAAAATTGTTAAAGTCTCCTTAAAGAGAGAGTGGGAATACATTTAAATTAAATGTTTATACTTTATCACTATTGAACATCCCTCTAAATAAAACAATGGATATAATAATAAAACAGAGTGAGATATGTTGTTTACTGTTCTATCCTATTTATTGGGTTAGATATATATACAATATATTTTATACTAATTGTTATTTATTGATTTTCTCATAAAATACCAGCTTGGAAGAATCATTTGGCAAAGTACTTTTTAATTAAGAATTTTGTATTTTTTGGTGCAGATAGATCCAGACTGTTCTGAAAATATCAGGTTTGGTGCAGATAGATCCAGACTGTTCTGAAAATATCAGTTTTCAAGTCTGGGTCAATTGTAAAGTGTCGCAACGTTTTGGCTTTTTATTTTACTTATCCCTAGACATTTACATTTTAGATCAAAATAGCACTTGTTTTAAGGTTTGGTTTCCAAGAAGTAAGAAATAGGGTCTTTGCCACAAACATAAATTTTCCAATGTCCATTGCAACCTAATGGTTAAACATTGATATTTCAAACTCAGATTATATTTGATCTATGAGAATTCTTAGTTTTATATAGTTTTGAATTCATAGTCACTTTTGTCAAGATAGTAATTTAAACTAAAATATTTTAAATGGATTATTGTCATCATTAAAAAATTAAATTCAAACTTAATTCCCTTGAAATATGCCTATAAACGGTAGTACCCTTATCAGGTATTAAAAATCAAACTCAATTTAAAGTTATTCCAAAAGTTGAATATACCAAAGTGAAAAACAGTCCTCCAAATAAAACCCGTCAGTAGCAGATATCAGGTCATCAGGTAGCAATAATATCTAATACCGACCCCCCCCCCTCTAATTTTTGAGAAAAGTCCCTCAACTAATGTTTTTAAAGATTTGTATGGTAGGCATAATATCTTTCTGTAAGTGTAACCGAATCCATATATGATCAGGTTACAAGACCAAACACATTAAAGTGTATCCGAATCCATATATGATCAGGTTACAAGACCAAATACATTTAAGTGATCCCATTAAATAGTTGTAATTTCTAAGTATATTTACGGGTTCCTAGAAAATATTCAAAATTCTGGCAAGAAATCATATCTGGTTAATACAAAAGTTTTAAATAGAGGATTTTTAAATGCAACGATATTAAAAAGATGTATTATAAAAAATTATATGAAAAACGACTTTTGCTTGTAAAATTGAATTTTTTTAAAAGTTACATTTGGTGCTATATCTGGCCTTTGTATGTTTCAGTAGGTCCAAGTTGGGTTCCTGTATGTCCTCGTACGTCCCTGTATGTCCCTGTACGTCCATGTACGTCCCTGTACGTCCCTGTATGTCTCTGTATGTCCCTGTATGTCCCTGTATGTCCCTGTCTGTCCCTGTCTGTCCCTGTCTGTCCCTGTCTGTCCCTGTATGTCCCTGTATGTCAGTGTATGTCCCTGTTTATTCGTTTATGTCCCTGTATGTCCCTGTACTTGATTTTTTTTAAAGTGTCATTTGGTGCTATATCTGGCCTTTGTATGTTCCAGTAGGCCCCTGTATGTCACTGTATGTCCCTGTATGTTCCTGTCTGTCCCTGTATGTCCCTGTATGTCCCTGTATGTCCCAGTATGTCCCTGTCTGTCTCTTTATGTACCTGTCTATCCCTGTATGTCCCTGTATGTCTCTGTATGTCCCTGTATGTCCCTGTATGTCCCTGTATGTCCCTGTATGTCCCTGTATGTCACTGTATGTTCCTGGATGTCCCTGTATGTCCCTGTCTGTCCCAGTATGTCCTTGTCTGTCCCTGTATGTCCCTGTATGTCTCTGTATGTCCCTGTATGTCTCTTTATGTCCCTGTATGTCCCTGTATGTCCCTGTATGTCCCTGTATGTCCCTGTATGTCCCTGTCTGTCCCAGTATGTCCCTGTCTGTCCCTGTATGTCCCTGTATGTCTCTGTATGTCCCTGTATGTCTCTGTATGTCCCTGTATGTCCCTGTATGTCCCTGTATGTCCCTGTATGTCCCTGTTTGTCCCTGTGTTTCCCTGTATGTCTCTGTATGTCCCTGTATGGATCTGTATGTCCCTGTATGTCCCTGTATGTCCAAGTATGTCCCTGTATGTCCCTGTATGTCCCTGTATGTCCCTGTATGTCTCTGTATGTCAATGTTTTCAATTTCCTCTTCATAAGCTTTTACAAGTTTATCTCATTTTCCCAGCTCTACGCCATATAAAATATAAATATTGCAAGCCCCCCCCCCCCTATTCTCCAGCTCTCCTTCCCTCGAACCCTCCTTGAATCATAAATCTGGTTCCCGTGGTTTTGATGGTTGCAAATAGTAAAAATGAGAGTTTAAATGTTAGGTTAGAAAGTCAGCGAATAAAGTACGAGCCGCTATTATTTTTTGCAAAAAAATATATCTGGATAGGATTTCCGAAATTTATTTTTTTAAATCTCATTTTTGACACAATCCCCTTGACTTTTTTTTTACTTTTAAGGAAAAATAATTTAAAGGATTTTTTTATAAATTTTTTTAATGCATAAGGTCTATATTTTTTTTCAATGAGCTGGCCATGACANCGGTGTATAATTTAAACATTTTCTCCCCCCGGTGTATAATTTAAACATTTTCTCCCTCTGAAATAACATATTTCATGTTGGAGACGTAAACCATATCTACCCCTCCCTCCCCCTCCTTTGTATAAACGCTATTTTGGTAGGTCTATCTATAATAATTGTTTTTGTTCATCCTTTATCTAATTCCACAAATGTTAATGATAACATTTTTATCAAAAAAATGCTGACTGGACTTGTTTCGCGACCAGTTCCTGTGATCCCCCTGAATCTGAACGTGTGCGGTGTCTGTGTACTGTCTAATACTCCAGCCATGAAACTAGTTTTACTTGTAAATATGAAGAAAATCGTGGGGACCACTGTCCAAAATTTCTCACTGTTAGTGTTTGCTTAGCGTCGGGTTAAGAAACATATACCTGTGAATTTGTCGTTTATTATTACTTTGCGGCTCAAATGCGAAGTATATTGAACTGGTTATATTTTCAGAGAAAACGTTTTGTGACCAGATAGATTGATTCCATGTTTGGGTTTCTTGAGGTATTTGTTTTGCTCCTGTGTTTGACATATGTTTTTTACTGTATAGGGTAGACCAAATCAATTGTTATTATTTCTTTTAGTATAATTATACTGGACTTACCTTGAAGTTAACATATTATTCTTTTAGCTAACGATTGCATATAGCTCTTTTTAAACGTATTATTATACGAATATAGGTGTTTTTTTTTGTAGATTGAACGAACTACCCAAACTGACTGCTTGTATATACAGAGTGAAAAATAGTCAGGGTTGTACGGTCAGCTCAGCAAGAACCAGACAGAGTATTAGTAGTAGAGATATAGTTAGATCATTGAACAGTAGGTCAGTGTGATTGCTTTATATGACTTTCCATTCTTTATTTAACGAGTTTGACAATTATTTAGACAAATTTTCAGAAAAAACACGGGGCACATAAAATATCATAAAACAGTCAAAAATCTACAAACCGTTTTCACTTTTCTGAAAAACGATCCTATCCTTTTGATTCGCAACAAAAGACGAAAAGTTTTAGTTCGTCCATTGACAACGACGTCGAAAATATTAGGGTAATTTCCCTCTATAAAAAAACTAAATGGTTCGTTTGTTATGACCCATCATCCATAGTTTTTTCCAATAACGATACGAAAAACTATCTTTTTTTTGGTTGTTTGGGTATCAGATGTTAGAAAAAAAATTATAATAATTAAAAAATTTATATTAAGGTAAAAATAAAAAAAATATTTTTTCCTTTCGTCATACTTTGATCTTTAATTCAAAATTCGAAAAATTTAAGAAAAATCTTTTTTTATGTATATTGCGAAACCGTAAAAAACAACCATGGCTTACAGCAATAGCTTTTTAATAGAATTTTCAAAAACCATATTTTTTATTATTTATATGTTATTTCAAATTTCGATATTGCTCTTATTTTATGTAAGCATGATTCAAAACATGAACATTTTAAGAACTTAGAAAGTTTATGCTTGTGTAAAGAATAATAAAACATTCACAACTTCAGACTTTGCTATTAAGTCAATTTCTATTTTTTTGTACAATTTTTAAAAAGTTTAGCCGAATATTTACTTTGAAAATTTTATTTAAAATGTTTTTCTTGAAAAGAAATATTTAAATAATTGAATGACAAGATATATCCACTGAACACTCCCCAGGGAGTAGATTTGAACTAATGTGTATCCCCCCAGTATTCCCTGGTATCCCTCCTCAGCTCCGGGTATAGAATAGAACTGAGGTTTAGATCCCGGGAGGTGAGAGATACAGATAGATAGATATATAGCTCTAGGAGGGAGGAGGAGAAGAGAACGCGTTCTACCCCACCTTACCGTAAACCCAACCCGGAGAAGTTTCCACCAATCTCAACCCAGAAACTATACAAGGAAATCAGTAAACATATTCTATTTATTCAACGACTAGGCTAGACGCTAACGCATTTCACAAAATCAAACTTTAAAAAGATTTTAACGAAAGTTGGAAAACTTAAGGAAAATTATTTTTGTAATTACTGAGGACCCAATTTTTTAAACTTTTAATTTGACCAAACTATTTATGTTAAGATGTTTTTGATTGAGATCTCAATTACTTCTACCTGATTATAGTTTTTTTTTTTTACATTGTAATGTAACCTAATAAAAGCTGAACGTAAACAGAAACTGCAGTGGCGTAAATAAGGGAGGTTATTGGGGTTACTCCCCCCCCCTAGAATCTTATCGACATTCAAGTCGTCCTGCATACTGTCATGTTTCGTGGGACACCCTGTATATACCTATATAGACGACAAGAAAATTTTAGAAATTAGAAACTAGAATATAATAAAAAAAAATATTTTTTCAAAGTTTTGCAGAGTAGCTTTTCGAAAGATTTTAAAAAGTTTACAGCTTTTTCCTCTTAGAGTAAAACTATTTTTTATGTTACTTAAAATAAATTCAGTTTGTTTGCAGATCTTTGTAGTTAATGTAAAATGAACGACCATAAAATGAAGGATATAAAACAAGGTGAAAGCTGAAAGGTGTGTTATGAAGCTTATTCGATGGAGTTTGTAAATGCCAGAAATGAGTGGAAAATGTAAATCAAACCCAACTAAAACCAATAATTTGGTATACATCATTGATTCATTGATATACATAATGATACACATAAAACAACTTACCCCCCCCCCCCAACAGAACCTTTATTTACGCCCGTGAGGAACTGCATCCTCTATAATCGACTTCTTTCCTGTCAGAAAATATATTACTTAAGATAGATAGAAATAACCATTATTACTTTTAGTGAGGTAATTACGTAATTACGTATTATTACGTAATTATGCAGACGAAATTTCATTTGTACATTGACGTGTCCAATTCACAACAGTTCCCCCTAAACCTTTTAATTGTTGCAATCTCTTTTATTTCAAAAATGTATCAATATCACGTGGAAAATAAACGTTTTCATCAAAAATGGAACATTTAATATTCGGTACTATTAATAAATATTTTAAGTAAAGCCAGCTCTGTTGAGTTCACACTAGGGTTTCCATGAATCGTTTCGCGAAAGTTTTGCGAAACGTGTCGTTCGCTGGAAACCCTGATTCACACTATACGCTATTAGCGTACACTCCAGCTTTCCGGTATTTTTAACACCATTTTAGAGATAAACACTCGGAGATCTTTGCAATCAATATCTGTCACAGGTGTGATGCGAAGCACGCTGAATTTCTATATTGCATGTATATTAACACAAATATATATAAAAATATAATATATAGATTAATTCATGTATAAGATTATTATCCTCATTTTAATTAGAAAATATGTCAGTTCCTGAACTCCTCTTCAAGTCATAAACCTTCAACCTCTCTCTCTAATAGAAATAAACTAGAAAATATTATGCAAAAAGTAGTTTTTCATTTTTCACCTCTTTAAATATAAAACCTCTTTAAATATAAATGTATTCTCACTTGTCGAAATGTTTTTTTTCTGAGAATACAAATATCTTTTTACATTTATCATAAAAGTTTGTAGTACCTGGATCAAATTCTTTCCTGTATTGTATTTACAATTCTAGAACAGTTTTAATGTAGTGTTGCCGGCCATGTGCAGGCGAAACAAACAAAAAATATTTTAAAAAGCAGCGGAACCCTGTTTTAAGATCATAACAAACTGAGTTTAGGAAGAAATATTAATTGGAGTACTTTCGGAAACCCCCCTTACCGGAGACACCCACTGCACCTATACTATCATTTGAGACTACAAGCTTTTGATTGCAGACCCCCATATGTTCACTGGAGAACTCAATGTTTTTTTGAGACCCCTGTATTTTCAGGTTTTCTTTCGGAAACCTCTAGATTTTCATCGGAGACCCCAAGCGTTTCATTGTAGACACTAAGATTTTCATTGGAGACCTAATAAATGTTTAATTCTTCGATAAAATACAGTGCAATTTGGGGTCTCTGATGAAAATCTGGATGTCTAATGCAAATCCGGGGGGTCTTTGATATAATCATTGGGGTTTCCAATAAGATTGTTGTGGTTTATGTTAATGAAAGGGGTCTCCAATGAAGCGCTTTGGGTCTCCAATGAGAAGGTTTGGGTTTCCAATGAAAAGCTTTGGATTTCCAATGAAAAGCTTTGGGTCTCCAATGAAAAGTTTTGGGTCTCCAATGAAAAGCTTTGGGTCTCCAATGCAAAACTTTGGGTCTCCAATGAAAAGATTTGGGTCTCCAATGAAAATTTTTGGGTCTCCAATGCAAATCTAAGGTGTCCGAGTAGACGCTTCTTGAATGAAAATAAGGGAAAATGTTACTATGTCTATACGCAACATTCCCCCTATTGAACTTCTGACCTACTTACTTTCCGACCTACTGCAATATCGGACCTACGCCAGCTGTTTATTTTTATATTATTTGAGAGTTGGGTTAGGTTAAGAATATTTCTGGACCGAGCGCTGCGGCAATGACAGGCTAGGGGGCCGAGTGCCGCGGCTAGGACAGATTAGGGGGCCGGGCGCTGCGGCCACAAGTCCATATAGCAGCTGTAAAACCGCGTGCTAGTGGGTCGGATGTGTTGTATAGCGGATTTGGCGTAGGTCAGAAGTGGAGTATAGAGGATTTGTGTAGGTCGAAAAATACACTATCAAATAAGGTTCTTTAATGGGATGGCAGAGGGATTTGCGATAGTAATCAAATGAAGATGATTTTCCCCGAACCCTTGAGAAAGGTTAAAATTATAAAAATCCTTATTATTTTATAATTGATAATTTAGGATTTTCCCTACATACTTTTAATCCTGCACACTGCACAATGCTTTAACACCTGCTTCAAATCTATCTATCTATCTATCTATCTAGCAACCTTGCATGCATTCTCTTTTGTATTACCAGAGTCCTTATGTTTAACATTCTACTGGGAAATGTTTGTTTAACATTTAACGTATATTTAAACTCACTTTTCAGACCTCATAGTCAACTCTTCATTGTACAATGTACATATATATATATATATAAACTCACTTTTCAGATCTCATAGTTAACTCTTCATTGTACACTGTACATATATTTAAACTCACTTTTCAGACCTCATAGTCAACTCTTCATTGTACAAAATATATATATATAAACTCACTTTTCAGATCTCATAGTTAACTCTTCATTGTACAATGTACATATATTAAAACTCACTTTTCAGATCTCATAGTCAACTCTTCATTGTAAACTGTACATATATTTAAACTCACTTTTCAGGCCTTATATAGTCAACTCTTCATTGTACACTGTACACTGTACTGTACTCAGTTTTCACTCATCGTATTATCAACTCTTCATTGTACACACTGTACAGTGTACATACAAATATATTATTAAAATATGCTTTTGGGGCGTTCCGGCCAGGGAGTAAGGAATAGAAGGGAGAGACAACTGACGCGGTTCGCCGTACCATATGATTATACATGCTTTGCAGACGGTACTCCATTTTATATCGAGCTGTTTGATTTTTTAGTAGGGCCCCACAGGAAAAATATGTATTGGCTCAATTTTCTTTCACCAGTTTCGCCAATACATATTTTTCCTGTAGGGCCCTACTAAAGAAACCAAACAGCTCGATATAAAATTTTATATCGAGCTGTTTGGTTTCTTTTGTAGGGCCCTACAGGAAAAATATGTATTGGCGAAACTGGTGAAAGAAAATTGAGCCAATACATATTTTTCCTGTGGGGCCCTACTAAAAAATCAAACAGCTCGATATAAAATGGAGTACCGTCTGCAAAGCATGTACAGGGTGTCCCACATCAAATTAGACCGCGTCAATGGTTCTAAAATACGATTTGGGGGACAAATCTGAATATTTAAAAACAATGAATCATTTTGAAAAATTAGATAAGACTAATAGATTTTTTTTTTTGCAGAGAATGCTAGATTTTTCGAGTATTATGTGCGTATTTTGGCGTTAAAGATTGGAGATAATCTAATATGATACGGGACGCTCTGTATAATCATATGGTAGGGCGAACCGCGTCAGTTGTCTCTCCCTTCTATTCCTTACTCCCTGGTTCCGGCCCTAATTTTCTTGTTTTAATTTAAGTTTTTTTCTTTATTATTCCATATTATTCTATCTTGGGACCCCAGCGTTTCCTGGAAGCCATTCATTTAAACGAAGCCAAGAAAACTCCCTGGTCAAGGGGTTCAAGAGTTAGGATCAGACATCAAAATACATAAACATAGACTGCTACTTTAAGATACAAGAAATCTTAAAATAGTTTTTGATAAATTCTTCATATATAATTTATATATATAGTTAGGAAACAACTTGCTAGGACAGGATCAAACTGTTAAATCTGATTTTAAAAATTATCAGAGTTAACTTTTTTCGATCCAGACCAATATTTTACTGCATCACTCTATATTAATATAGAATATATTTTACAAATATGATTAACTACCTACTGACAGGATCAATCTATCTTGCTGCATTATTTTGATCTTTGTAATCCTTGTCTACATTAAAAAAATAATAGAATTTGAAGTTCGCAGAATTTCTTGTTTTCCATAGCGGATTTACAATAGTTATGATTCTTTAAACTGTAATTAAATATAGATTTATAGAAGGTACAGTTTCAAAATCATAGATTTAAAATGTTCAAAATATTTTAAACAACTTAAACAGAAACGAAAAGATACAATTAATCCTTAAATAAGCCATGCATCGAAAGAATTCATCAAATGTCGAATTCTTCACTTTCTGATGATGGAATGTTGCAGATATTTTGTTTTTTAATTAAATGATTATATGGAACTCTTTAAAACTGTTCCCGCATATTCATGGCTTTTTATTTATTTAGGCAAATACTGAGATTTACGTAATACAGTATAAAACCCATTGAAAAATTGTCGAGACGACATTTGATAAATTCTTTCGATGTATGGCTTATTTAGAGTATCACTGTATATATTTATTACACTGTGCAAAATTAGTGTTCAACCGGTTCAGTCATCTATTAGGATCAAACAGTAGATCAATCAAAAAACTAACAAAGAACAAATAAACATTTTTACATTGATAAAATCCGAGACACTTACATTTGTCTTCAATCAGCTATTTTCGATAATAATTCCAAAATAATTCTATAGTTGATGATATTGTTTACAAAACTTACATTCTACAGTGAATCCCAGATATATGAATACATAGCAAGAGTTTTGTATAATGTATAATTCTAAAGAAACT